ACAGAACACTGTGCTCTGTGCTGCACCGTGCTTGAAGCACACAGCTGGAAAGCGGCTATTGTCTACATAGTTTACATAGTCTACATGGATATGGAAAAAAGTGGATGTAAACAATACGTAGACAACGAGTAGACAAACCGCGTAAAGTAGATTTCATAGTCTACGGCACATCCCTGCTTTTTACTGTATTAGGGGTGACTCCAGTAGCTCTGTTCTCTCCAACTCCGCGCTGAATAGCCAAACCCAGCTTATCATATTTTATCAATTTGAAATTGTTCAGTTTACAGGTGGATTAGCATTAATACCACCTAGGGCCGATACTTTCGCTCTCGATTAACGAATTTGATACGCTGTTCAAGTTTTGCATGGGCCAAGGCCTATAGAGTATGATGTGGTTAGAGCACATTCAAACCCCTGATTATTTTTAATGGCTGTCATATGAGAGCAAAAGTAGCGGCACCTAATCTACCTACTATAATGCACGGACTACGTAAATCACCCTGTTGTATCATATACTCAAAAGATGTACCAGAGACAATCCCAGTTCACCTACTTGATGGGCTGTTGTAGATTGTAGATAACGAGAACTTAAATATAAACTTTAGATAAACTGGTTCTACTAGGTCTATCCACCCATGGTCCACATCTTGCATTGAACGAGAAGAAATTAAACTACCTACTTTTCACTTTTTAGCTTGCCTTGCTGTGAAAAAAAGGAATGAAATACTCGATAATTCCACAATTTTGAAAAAAAAAACTTGCTTCCCATATTTCTCCACATACCTATTAAAGAGGGTGTGACCCAAAAAAACAACTTAGAGCCGTTTTACACGGCAAAGTTTCTTCACGAAATATTTCGTAAGTTTACTATTCTTGTTTCTTCGCTTGTTACCTGTTTGACACGACAAATAAAATTTAGCAAAAGTTTCGTGAAAATGTTAGTCATACGCCGGCGCAGTAACGTTTTGCCATCAATAATATGAAATCATAACCTCATACGTTGGAAACCAAAACAAATAAAACTTTGTTGAATCTTTGTACGTGCTTTGTACTCTACTGCAGTTTCATAAAGTTGAATTTCTGTTTCCCTTCCATAAATAAAGTTTTGTTTACTTTTGGCTTTGCCCAGCTGGTCTGCTTCTCCCTCCCACTTTATTTTTTTGGGTTAGTTTGGGTTAGCAGTCTATCTGTACGTATTACATAGGAAATCCAATGACGGATTCATAAAACTCGAAGAAAAAGAATGCGCTTTTTATTTTGTAATTGTGTCCGCCGAAACTCACGCATTTTCTCGGCCGCGCCCACAAAAACTATAGAACATTTTCGAAAGTTTATTGGCGAAATATTTCGTAAGTTTTTCTTGTCGTGTAAAACAGGAAAAGTTGACTTACGAAATATTTCGGCAACAATTTCGTGAGTAATTTCGTGGAGAAACTTTGCCGTGTAAAACGGCTCTTAAGCTACTTGAATCAAGAAAAAAAATCTAATAAGATCTCTCGTGAGAATCGCAGTCCTATATTCAAAATAGTTTTCGAGAAAATCCCTTATGAAGATAAAATATGCGGGAATTTGTGACGTCACACCGGCTAACCGCCGAAATCGCAGCCTTCTGTTTGTTCGGTTCGGTCGTCAGTGAACCGTGCCCCATTTGAGTGGTTGCAATTCACTCTAAGTGAGATCGTTGACTTTTGTTTTGGAAATTTTTACACGTGTTTTAACATTGCACCCGAAGTCGCTGTGACGTCACAGCCTAGGCGTTTGTCACTTTAAACCGCCCTAACTCGAAAAGGGCTCATCGTAGCAAGATGCGGTTTAAATATTTATTCTTAGATTTTTTTGCACTAAAACTTTCATTTTTGGGTCACACCCCCTTTAATTAATTGTGAATTGCTCACATGTAATTCTCGTCATGTGGTAATGCTTTTTATGCACTTCAGGGATTAAAGGTACCCTTTTAATCCCTGTTTCAAGGGAGTAAAGTGTCCCCGGGATTAAATTTCACTTTATTTCCCGGGGATTAAATTTTTACTTTATTTCCCGGAGATTAAAAGTACCCTTTTATTCCCTGTTTTATTTAATCCCCGGGAAATAAAGTAAAGTGCATAAAATAGTGTATACACCTCAGGACTAAAGTGTCTTTTAATCGCCCGACAAATTATATAAACTTTTTGTCTCGGGATTAAAAGTACCACTTTAGTTCCTAGGTGTATGATGTACTATTATTCTCGTCGTCGCTGTCCTTTTACAATTTTAACTTCTGTGTCGGAACCTGACAAGTGAGTAAAAAGGAAGAATTTGAAAATTATATATCCACTAATTTATTATATATATCTATATATTTATAACTGCTCTATAGTGAATTTCTTCATCGCTCGCTTGCAGGTAGTACTGATGATGGTTAAAGCCGAAAGCGCTCTACTACGCTGAATTTTAATAAACAATTTTGCATAAAATACATTTTTTCGGTTTTCTTTTCTTATCTGGACACATGCACACAGCCTTCTTGGTGAAAATATTAAAATTTTTTCGCTAACAAATCCTTCCGAAAATCTACCGAAATAGCTATTTTCTTAATAAGTGTAGGAAGAGAAATTTCTTCCCGCAAGCGTTAGGAACTATATTTTTTCTACAAGCGTACTAAAGGCGATATTGCGAAAAATGTAATTTAAATAAAATGCGACTATGCAGAAGGTAAAATTGAAAATGTATTAAACAGTATTTATAAAAAAAAGTTAAAGGTAAAGGTACAGGTGTATCAACAATACAAACAAATCGACATCACAATGATTATTTCAAACTCTTCCCGCACTAGTGCGAGAAGAAAGTCTTCCCACACAGCAAATAGTGCGGGAAGAGCCATTTCCCGCACGTTTGTAGAAAAAAATAAAAACCATATGATTTGAGAGTTCTGGGTTGATTTGCAGTAGAATTGGTAATTTTCAGTGAATTCTATGATATTTATAAATTTCGTATAGAATTAAGTTTATTTGTTCTCTATGTTTTATTTTGGAAAATCAAAAAGTGCCAATTTTTAGGTTCGGTTACCTATTTTCTGCGAGGCACCTTGGGCGCGACGCCGTCGGCGGTCGCCGACGCCTAGCTACGCCACTGATAATTAGAGTAACACCTCCCTTACTATAACCCCTATTAAAAGTAACGTTTTCATCAGTGACAACATTGAACTGATGTTACTTTAAAAAAATAATTATAGTAACACCTCTGTTACTTTAGCCACGGCCTTTAAAATAACATTTTTCTAACCTTTCGTTTTCAAGTGGCATTTTCAGTGATGTCATCATGTATGTTTGTAACCCGGTTAGTTTAAACCGGATCGACGTGAAAAGGTGTTTTGGTTAAACTTTGACATTGACAGAAACTGTCTGACCTAAAGTCCCTAAAGACGTTTTTCGAACAAGTTTTTCAGATGAGCTTTGTTGTTAAGCCTGACTCACACTAGGCAAATTTGAAAAATATATATTGCCTGTACAGTTTTATGTTTGGCCAAGTGTATTTGGTTTGTGTGCCAATGACCGGCCATCTTGTATATCAAAAGTCACGTGATTTGCCGTTCGTTCGGTATTTTGATCAGCCCCCCGATTCTCCAAGAAGAATACACTCGAGGAGTGCTTATCGGCCTCGTTTTTGGCACAGTGGCTTAATAAACCTTTACACACAGTAGTTGTATTCCTTTCAAGAGTTTGAAACACTCGAGCTACTCGCTCCGGTGCTCAGGCGCCCCCGATTTACAGGGAACAGATGCGTAGTGCAACAAACACTTTTCGAAAGGAATAAGTGCGTGAAGCCCCGGGGCTGTTCCGGAGCTCCTCCTAGGAATACAACTAGTGGCGACAATAGAGGTCTCGCGGCCATCTTGTTCCCAACCTCTTGTTACTTTTAAATATCAATATATAGGATTTAAATGGACATCTATCATAAAAAATTGAAATCGACGTATTTGATGATCATTATTAGGTCCATCAAATACGTTGATTTTCATGATTTATGATGAATGTTCACCTAAATCCCATATATTCATATTTAAAAGTAACAAGAGGCTGGGAACAAGATGGCGGCGTTTACAATGTAAATATATGGGATTTTAGAACCAATCAAAAATAAGACAGCAATAGGGAACAATCATATTTTTCAAATTATTTTTTTGCCTATTCCTTATGTTTTCAAATATAAAATATAAATGCTTCTGCTCGTACTATGTCCTCATTAAAATTTTAAAAAAATAATGAATTTCAAATTATTTTCGTTGGCGCTAAAACGATTGCCTTCAAGATGGCAGTACTTATGACGTCAACTGTTTGTAAATACAACGTTAAGGTCTATTCTCACTTCTCACAAGAGTCTCTGACAGTTTGCTAACTGTCAGAAAAAATCGCTCAGCTCGTACCTTCGACTGCATTGAAAGTTGTTATTACGTTGGGTTTCCATGTTTAGTGCCGTATTATGAGTATTGGGATATTTTGTATTTTCAATAGTTCATCATGCTTGAGGTTGATATACGATTTACAAAAGTGCAGTTTGACAATTGGCTACCTTGCCTCTATAGACCCATTTATAGTGGTTTAATATCAGTCGCGCGGCATTACGTGAGTTGATTGTGGACCAATCGTTCTTCACGACTCAAGAGTGAACCACGAAAGCGTGGCCAGCGTTATCTATTCACGATCAGTGTAAACTACCCTTAACCTTAGTTCACGAACAGTTGACGTCACCGGAAGCGGCCATGTTAAACGTAACTTTTTCGCGCGAAACTTTTCAATTTAAAACTAATAATTGCCGTATGACTATGATATCGATAAATTTAATGCAAAACTGCTCATATTCAATATTTTACAGGAAAATGTGCACCATCAAAATAAAATAAGCCATATTTATTTCTCATGAGAATTCCCTATTGTCGCCACTGTGGTATAGAGTCTCTGTAGCAATGAACCTCTGTAGTTTTTGGTAATCGCCGCCATATTGGTTTTCAACTGTTTTCAACCAATGAACTATAACCAAAAACTGGAATGCGAACACATAAGGACGAACGTGAGGCCTAGTGCGGCTGCTGCGGAGGGGATACCTGTTTTTGTCGCACTCATTATGTTAAATGGCGAAAATTGCTTCCAACACGTATTCCAATTGATGAAACCTGTGAAGGGAAATATGACAAAACTTTCGAAAACGTCATATGTCAGCGAGCAACAGAAAAAAACAACATTCCCCCTTGTGGCATCTGTCTTTCATGGCTTCATTTTTTTGGCAGATATGGTAATGTGTGCACATTCCAGTTTTTAGCTATAGTTCATTGTTTTCAACCATTGCCGACGTCATAACTAAGTCGTCAGCTGTTTGAACAGCCTACGTCAAGGCAAGAAACGCCATGCTGTTTACGTCACAACTAGTTGTTTGGGTGTAGGGGGGAAAGGGGAGATTTGTTACACACAGGCCTTATGAGGATAGGCCATCCTGTAGTAGTAGTGTGTATCATCCTTGCCGATTCTCAACCTCTAGTCGCAACCTATCGACACCGACTTCCGATTGCCTTTCTACAGGGAGTCGGTACGTTACGTATCGACTTGACGATTGAGAATCGGTACAAGTTCTCCGAGCATTAATTTACCGTTCGTTTATTTAAAAAGTGTACTCAGTGCAGGCTCATTCATTCACGTTCGTTTATTAAAATTAGGAGCCCTCTGATACAGCGTTTAACTGCTCGCTGGTCATGTGATCACGTACGGTTCCTCTGCTCTTTGAGCAAAATACCGAACGCAAGGTTGGAATGCCTAATTCCACTCTGAAAAGTATGACAATGACAATGCTATGACAAATGACATGACTATCATGACATTTAGCCAGGTACATAAATAAATAAATACTTCATAATATTTATTTTTTAATTTTTTTATTTATAAAAAAAAATCAATAGAATTTATTAGGAAAAGAAAGTGAAGTTTGAGGATAAATTTTATAATAATTTTTGTGAATCCCAGTGTATTATTATTATTAAACAACAATCACCAGTACAATTCACAAGTACAGTTTTGTTATTCTGACAGGGTAAATCCATTTATTGTCATTTATTATTATGGAAAATGATGATTTTTTGGAACAATTCCGTAAAAAAGACTTCACCAAAGCTAAAAAGTTCGATTTCAAGAAAGCAAAAGCCACTAAGTCGCCTGAAAAGTATATTCCTGTTTCAAACACTATCGAATCAGGGAAACCATTGCCAATACAAAAGCTAACGATAAAACCGAAGAATGTTATTGAAATAGAATCACCATCAACTTCTAGTATTTTAAACGAATCTTTACCAAAGTTGAATAAAAAAAATGTATTTGGTCAAGCAAATAAAGAAAAATTGGATAATAGTTGTAAGGAAGACAATAATTTTGATAAACTGTATAAAAATGCATCAACAGCAAAAGATAGGGTAAATGGTATATGTAAAGAAGAAAATATTTTAGACAATCTTTATAAAAACATGTTACCATTACCAAGTAAACATGCTACATCCATTTCACCAAGAAAACACACATTAACAAATTCCCAAAAAAAAGAAAATATACTAGATAGCCTTTATAAAAATGCAACACCACAAAAAACCTTTTCTAGAGCTGACAGTATTGATGGTAGCCCCAGTTTGATTTCTGCTAAACAAAAACTTACTGCCAAAAGTACTCCTAGTATAAGTAAATATTTCAATTCAAATAAGGATATTGCTAATACTGAAAATCCTTCAAAATTCAATGGATTGAGTCCGTTCAAAAAGCTCTTGCAATCGAAAGAAGTAAAATCAAGTTCAAGTTATGAATCTCCTATAGTAAAACCTAAAAAGTTTGTTTTTAAAAAGAATCCGATAACTAGTTCAAGTAGTAGTGAAAATAAACCCGATAACAATTTTGGCAATGAATGTGATAATAAAGTAACTACAACTACAATGGATATTGGAGATGTCAAAGACGATTCTTTTTTCAAAAACATTGATAATGCTCAAGAAAATAAACCTATAATCGAGCCTACTATCCAAGATCAAATTATTTCAAATAGTCAATCTGTATCAAGTACAACATTAGGAATTACCGATGGTGATTTTATGGACGATGAAGAATTTACAAGGAGATTTGGCGGTATAGTCGATCTGTGTGATGATACCTTGCCAAGTCATGAATCTAATACTCATATTTCACCTAGTATTGAAAATGTGCCATCTACAAGTTCAGATGAGGTAAGTTACTTCTCTAGTATTCACCTACCTATTAATTACTTGCTCATTTTTTTCCTCACAATTTTGCATTTACTCGTAAAAAAATAATGCACTTTAATCCTTGTAATATACTATTAAATAAACAAATAAATTACAGAAAGCAAAATATAAAGAGCTGGAAAGCCGTTTCGTTTTCGTGCCTTTCAGTGTAGAATCCTTTGGACCTTGGGGTAATGTAGCTAGAAAATTTATTTTAGACCTAACAAATAAAATTAAACATCAAAAAATACATAGTTTCATTACCCAAAGGATCAGTCTCGCAATACAAAGGGGAAACGCTGCCTCAGTTCTGGGAACCATACCTGCAGATCTCAGATCATGGCCTAGATGAGATTTTCAATTTATAATTTTTACTAGCTGACCCGGCGAACTTCGTACCGCCTCTGAATTATTAAATATACCTATTAAATATTGTGTTAACGTATCTATTAGCTGAATTAAATTCAGTTTTTTTTTTTATGGTGAATTTGGCTTTGGTTGAAGAAAATTAATGTTTACTCTCTGGATCAGAAGTCACCTAAAATTAAAATTTTACATCATCCTTTTTTTAGGCAGCTTGTGGGCATTATTCTTGTAAAGTGTACCACCAAATAAATAAACTCAGGCACATGAATGTTCAAACAATGTAAAGAAAACAAAAAAAATCTCTGGCGCAGCCCTGTTTCACTCTATCTGCACTGCATGCACTGCACTACTCCATCTGTTCTACTCTATCTGCACTACTCTATCTGATCTACTCTTTCTGCACCACTCTATCTGATCGGAATAGTTCTGTTCGGAATAGTTCCAGTTCCTGAGCAGCATTGTTCTACTGTATCTGCAATGCCGAGCTTCGTTCCAGGTATCAGAGATGGCGCGGTATACAAAATACAAAAAAAACTTGGTATCAGTTATAAGAGATGGCGCCGTATGCGGGCTTAGTAAATAAATAAAATAAGTAATGAAATGACCACATCAATGACATAACAACATGCTGGTACTGTCAACGCTGAAAAAAGTTTCAATTTGACAGCAAAATCCCCATTAACAAAATGATCCTCCATTTATTGAATAATTCATTTATTACAAAAAATGTGATAAATGAAGAACCGCTCTACCGATTTTGTGCAAACTTCACATAAACCATCTAATAAATAGTCCGAACAAAGCCTAAACATTTGGTTTGGCTAGGTGAGCCCGTTCTTGAGTTATAAAATTACAACGAAAAGTGGCATTAATTTTTATATTAATAGATATATGTATAGGGTGCTGCAATTTGGAGTGTTTTAACAGGAAAAACACACTTCCAGACCAGATAGAGGAAAATTTACTTAGATGTCATGGGGTTGATTTTCGAGAAACATCGATTGTCAAAAACTGTATCGCGATATCTTCAATGGTACGATTGATACAGGGCGATTTTCGATTTTCCCCTATTATGAAAAATGGCCATAAGTTTTTTATTTATCAATTTTTTTTATTTCTGTAAAAACATTATGGAGACACTTTTTTGAGGACAATCCAGTGGCAGACTCAGTTTTTTTCTATGTCGTTGCGATTTCGAGATATCGACTAAATTCCGATATTTTCAAATGAAATACCCTATATATTAATAGCTCATTGGCTAGCTCTGTTTTTGCTGATTTCAATGATATAAAGTTCGATAGGTTTATCTCTAACAGTTTTCGAGAAAAAAAAAATTATATCTGTTTCAGTCATAAGAAACAATGTGTTAGACAGAGTTCTTCCTCATTCTCCTTCCACATATAAAATCCTTTTCTAACACATTGGTCCTTACGACAAAAACAGATTTAATTTTTTTTTCTCGAAAACTGTTGAGAGATAAACCCATCGAACTTTATATCATTGAAATCAGAAAAAACAGAGCTATCCAATGACTTATTAATATATAGGGTGTTTCATTTGAAAATATCGCAATTTGGTCGATATCTCGAAATCGGAGAGATATATAGAAAAAAACTGAGTCTGCCACCGGATTGTGCTCAAAAAAGTGTCTCCATGATGTTTTTACAGAAATAAAAAAAAATTATAAATAAAAAACTTATAGCCATTTTTCATTATAGGGGAAAATCGAAAATCGCCCTGTATCAATGGAACCAATGAAGATATCGTGATACGGTTTTTGACAATTGACGTTTCTCAAAAATCGATCCCATGACATCTAAGTCAATTTTCTTCTATCTGGTCTGGAAGTATGTTTTTCCTGTTGAAACACTCCAAATTACAGCACCCTGTACAGTCATGAGCATAAAAACTGGTACACCCGTTTTTTCCTATTGTAAATAAGCTCATCAGCTAATCAGTGTGAAACTAGCAGCCGCATTACAGCAGCCAAAGTGTGAAGTTGGCAGCCAGTTACAGCAGCCAAAATGTGAAGTTAGCAGCCTGTTTTAGCAGCCATTTGAAGATAAAATGGATAATGTCATAACTAAATTTTAAACTTTTGTTTTAAAAAATATAAATTTTTCTCCGTTCACCTGCATTAAGTATTATGAGAAGCAGAGGAATCGAAAAAAAAAAAAAAAAAAATGTAGGCCGTAAAAAATGGAGTTCCGCGATTAAACTTGGTAGTATCCTTGACGATGTCCTAAAGAACTTCTATACCGAGTCGCATCTCTTTAGGCCTCATCTAACATGGAGAAAACGGGACATAATGGAAAAATCGATAAAAAGTCAAAAGTCACTTTCAAAAATGGAGTTCCGCGATTAAACTTGGTAGCTCGCTTGGTAGTATCATTGACGATGTCCTAAAGAATTTCTACACCAAGTCGCATCTCCTTAGGCACCATCTAACATGGAGAAAACGGGACATAATGGAAAAATCGATAAAAAATCAGAAGTCACTTTCAAAAATGAAGTTCCGCGATTAAACTTGGCAGTATCATTGATGATGTCCTCAAGAACTCTATACCGAGTCGCATCTCCTTAGGCCCCATCTAACATGGGGATCGTGGAACTCCGTCTTTGGAAGTGACTTGATTTTTTATCGATTTTTCCATTATGTCCCGTTTTCTCCATGTTAGACAGGACCTAAGAAGATGCGACTCGGTATAGAAGTTCTTTAGGACATCGGCAATGAAATTTCTAAGTTTAATCTTGGAATTCCATTTTTGAAAGTGACATTTAATTTTTTAACCATTTTTCCATTATATACCGTTTTCTCCATGTTAGACACGGCCTAAGGAGATGCGACTCGGTATAGAAGTTTTTTTGGACATCATCAATGATACTGCCAAGTTTAATCGCGAAACTCCATTTTTGAAAGTGACTTTTGATTTTTGTTGCGGAAATAACCCACAACAAGTTTAAAATGTTATTATTTGTAGTTTATCAATATAATCAATTTCTATTATTTATCATAAAAATAATATTCTAAAAAAAGATTCCTGTAAAACTGGCAACAGCAGCCCTTTTGAATCGGTAAAATTACAGATTTCTTCATTACCCTATGAGCAATGGATCTATTTTGTTGTTGTGATTGGTCAGTTGCCACCCAACATCCCTGATTTATGCGACCTGCTCCGAAAAAGGCAGTCGACTCGACGCACGGCACGGTACACAACAGTAGTAATCAAGAAGCAGAAGAGTAAGCAAAGACTCTGCACCCTCTCGCCTCTGAACGCTCTACAGAGGAAAAAACCCCCAGAAAACCCCCGTTAGTACGCGAATTATAGTAAAATACTACTCCCAGTGTCTCAAGGCCTGACATGGCCTACATTATCAACGATATTATTGATTACAATTCATGTAATTAACCCCTAAATTGTTGCAAGTCATCTCGGACCTAGCAAAATTCTCTACTACGCCTGTTTAAGGTTATTCCTGTCTCACTCTCGACAGGCTTCAACTCTGTATATCATTGTGTTCTCTCTCTTAGTGGAAAATCCCTTAGCTGTCAGTGCAAATTACTACGAATAGTGATAAATGGATAAATAATCACTATATGGATTTACCGGTATGAACTGGATTAAGCAAGTAAGACCGTTTCAATTTCTCAAAACAGTCGAACAATAAATTAATAAATACTGAATACTGATTCGATTGAAATGCACTATAAATTGAAGTGTTTGTTCTAACCTTTAATACAGAAATTTGGTTTTCACACTCGTGAAATGAACATTAATTTGTAAATTTGTATATAGAAACTGAGCATATATATATAGACTTTTCTTGCACTTATTGTTTACACACTTCAGCAGAAAAGTGCTCAAATTATTAACTCTCAATAAACAAAAGAACTTTCAAGGATTATAAACATTTTGTGAATACAGTGAGCTGATTGAAGTTCACGAATTATTTGTGTTGTGCTCTCGTAAACCTAATTAGTTAATTTGTGTTCTCGTTCATTGAACATTTAACCATAATTGATATTATTATTATGAAATTTCACTATTTTTTATAAATCAAGATACTTATTTACTCGCTTATTTACTTTAGATTAGTATAAAATTTGTAGTTCGACTGGACGTCCAAATAGGAATTATTAGATAGGATTTGATTGCTGATTAAACCGAATTAACTTCATTTATTAATTAAATTGATAACTATTCTATTTCAGCGTTTTATTTGTATAAATGAGAATCAAGGCACCCCTAGTTCAATACAAGGCTTAAATGATCCAACACCTAATGGTTAATTTTTACAGTCAGTCAAAGTAAAAACTTTTGACATCCCTGGTGCGGTAATGACTAGAGTCCACAAAAGGGTAATAGCTAGTTCCGTCACATTGGTCCTTCGAGCCGGATTAAAGCCTTGATTGAAATGTAATTAATTAAAAAATTTAATGTTTTTTTTATGCCTCTATCTCTGACTGCTTTAAGATTCTCATTTCTACACTGCTCAATAAAAACTTGTGTTTTTATTATATATTGAAATTTGCCTACTCGAATCCCTGTATTGCTCGTACTTGGTAAGTACATTCTCTGTTGTAAATATTCTATATTGTAAATAGGTACATTGTG